TGAATAAACAGAAAACACACTGGATCCCCCAGAAATTACAATGAGGTAGTGTGCTGAGGATCTGGTGGCACCGAGGAGAAGTTTGATGGCGTGGTCCAGGGAGATCTCATGGTGGTAAGCTGTGAATCAGGGAGAAGATCCATGCAAACATGGGGAGAGGAGATCTCCATCACAAGGAGCAGCCTATGGAAAGTCTCGAAGGTGGAAACGGGATTAGAATGCTGGCTGGCCGAGAAGAAAACAGAAAGGCAGAAGGCAGATAAAGCAGCTGTAGGTCACGTAGGACAGTAAACAGCCTCGGTGCAGACTGCACATTTTGTTCTCAGTGTATGGGAGTGTAGGGGAGGGTTTTAGGAAAGGAAGAAAAGCCTTGTGAAGACAGATGAGGCAGAGACTGAGCGATGTGCCTACACGCTAAGGAAGGGCAAGGATTGCCAGCAACCACCACAAGCTGTGAGAAGGAAGGAAGGGTCCACTCGTAGAGCCTTCGAAGGAGCATGGCCTTGCTGACCCCCTGATTTTGGATGTCTGGAAGTGAGAGAGTGAATCCGCTGTTTGTAAGCCATCCGTCCCGTGGCAGCGTCAGAAAACTCCATGCAGTGCGCTGAGCGCCTGTTTATTAAAGCTCATCAGGCTGCCTGGGTGGAGAATGAACTCCAGACAACGAATCAGGAAGACCACCTGGAAACCCACTGGGGAGATGCGCAGGGGTGAAGCTGGCCTGGAGGAGGAAATCGTAGGAGATGAGAAAAGTGCCTCAATGCAGGTGTGCTTAGAGGACAAAGTGTATAGGACATGCTGTTGAGACATGCAGAACAGGGAAGATCAAAGAAAGAGGCTTCAGGGGCTCAAAGAAACCAGTTCAACTCGGGTACCGAGTCACTGAGTAAAGACCAGTGCAAATCAATGAGATGCACTGGCCCGTCAGACATGCAGTCCTGGGCGCCCCTAAGATCTCTATGATGGAGGTCAAGGGCTTGGACGGCATCGTACATGGTGAGTGAGTGGGCAAAGAAACGAGATGGTTCAGGACAGAGCCCTAGAAGTTTCCAACTTTGAGCGGCATGTCAAAGGAGGAGGAAGAGCCAGCACTGAGGGCTGCGGAGAAGTTCCCGTGAATGTGCTTGCACCATCTCTACGAGAAGTGCTCCACGGCCTCAAAACATTGACTCGGACACCAAATGAGGCCAAGTGAGGCCAACTGATCCTTTCTTAAGAGAACCACAACTTACAGGACTATTTCCTGAGCTCCAATGGCGCCACCCTGATCCCGCTGAGGGTGTAGAATGAAGAGAGACTTCTGAAGGTCCCTCCCTCTATCTGATGGAAACACACCCAACACCTGCCCAGGGTGCAGTCACACAAAGTGGGAGTCACAGTCTGTGCTTCCTACAGGGACTGCAAGGAGATTGTAAATCCTGTTACTTTAAGGCAGGGATTCCTCTTCCCCAGTCCCAAATGTGCAAGGTGAACATTTTCAATATTCTAACAATCCTGATGGAATTTTCACATTTAACAATTGTAGCGGTCACAGGCTGGTGCAAACGTCAGGGTGTTTTGATGTTCACTTATTTATCTTGCTCTTTGAGTAAGCTCTACGCCCAAGGTCGGGCTCAAACTCATGACCCTGAGATCAACAGTCACATGCTCTGGGACTCCTGGGTAGCTCAGTCGGTTGAGTGTCCAACTATTCATGCAGCTCAGGTCATGACCCCAGCGTTTGTGAGATCCAGCCCTGCATCGGGGTTGGAGATTGCTTGGGATTATGTCTCTCCTTCTCTCTCTGCCCCTCCCCTGCTCACTCTCTCAAAATAAATAAATAAACTTAAACAAGAAAGAGTTGCCTGCTCTACTGACTAAGCCAGCCAGCTGCCCCTATTTATCTTGTTCTTTTTTTTTAGTATATATATTTTAATGTTTTAATTTTTATTTATTTTGAGAGAGAGATAAAGAGCAAGTGGGAGGAGAGACAGAGAAAGAGAGGGAGAGAGAGAGAATCCCAAGCAGGCTCCATGTTGCCAGCCCAGAACCCGGCACAGGGCTCGACCTCATGAAGTGGAGACGTCATGACCTGAGCTGAAAGCAGAGTCAGACTGATATGATTTACCCATCTCTCAACCTAAACAGGAGAATCACGCTGCAAACATCACCTTTAAAAAAATGAGAGAAGTATTAATGGTGTCGCTACTCCTTCACACCCATAATATTACATTTTTTTTTCATGCTGATGACAGCAGGGATCTTACAGAGATCTAATCTGTTGAATTCTGGAGAAGGATGGTTTAACTGTGCCCATTCTATCAAATTAACCCACAGATTTCATTAGGGAAGTAGATTAGAGTGGTAACATGGTAGAATCCCTGGGCTCATACGCTAACGATCTTTCTGAGGGGTTCTGATTGAGAGTAAAAATCATTACTGTTCAGAGAAAGACGCTCTTTTGATCAGGGAATTTAAGCAGCGTGAGTCCTCTGCGAGCAAGTGTGCTGGACTTAGCACCTTTAGAAAACTAAATGTGTTGACATTTAGAAGTCTTTGGTCATTTCCCACAGCTAGAAGGAAACCATATTCCTTCTTTTAGGGCATCGCCTTTTATCAGTGTTTCACTGGGAGTCTGCAACTAAATCTGACAAAGGGATAATGCTTTGCAATAGAGTAGCGGCTGGGATAGTAACAGAGTGTAATACACGGGTGATGTTTCCAGGACTCACGCGAGGCAGCACAACCTGACTAAAGCATCTGATAGGTTTCCTTCTAATATTGAAAACCAGGAAGTAGCCACTGACACGCTGTGAGGACTGTATGATAACTTTGCTTTGTGACCGTCATTCGGGACCCTTGACGCTCTCATTCTGACCCACACCGCTTGTATCTTCAAAGAGTCCACTGTCAAGGCTAAATGCGAATAACACATCCTCTTCCTCAAGCTCATAATGCGTCCCGAGATCCATCAGCTGGTGGTCATCTGGTCTTCTGTCCCTGAACCGAGCTTCCACTATACGTAGCCAGGAAGAGTTGTAAAAACAAGCATGGGGCACACTGCCTTTGGGACAGCAGCCTGTACCCTCACTCCGCGCCCTGCCTCGGTGCCCGGTGATGTGTGTTACCCACTCCTTCATGTTGCCGGGCAGGCCGTGTGCTTCTCCTCACACCCAGTGCTAAAGTGGGTGATGGCTACTGTGGGTGAGCCAGAAGCAAAACGAGAGAGCAAGCAGACAGCGTGGCGAACTCCTTCCCAGCCACGCCTCCCTTGGTACCATTTCTGGGGCCCCCACACCCTCAAGTCTCTCCTCGCCGGACTCACTACGTCTCGTGCTGATAGATGTCGACGTCCTTATGAAACGGCATCGTCTAGGTTTCCTGCTATGAGTGACGGAGCCACCAGGCGGCCCACCCGGCAGCGGACCCTGACTTCCTTCACGGCAGGGGCCACGTCTTCCGTTTCTTTTTGCCTCAGGCCCACTGCCAGAAACACGGCCTGAATTATGTTTCTAAACCATCTAATGGACAGACGCACTCATTATGTCTTGCGGTACAGTTTGATTCCTGCACCCTGGGGAGTCTGACACGCGTGCCTATGAGCGCATGTACAAGGCCAGGAAGTTGTGCGTTCTGCGCATCTTGTTGCCTTAGGAAGGCAGTCCCCATGGACTGGGTCACCATGCTTTACCTCTTTGCCTGTTACCTCCCCTCGTCCGGTCCCGAGGGGCAAAAAACCGCAGAACCGGGTGGGCGTCCTAAGCCTTAGCACTGATACGCCCTTTGAGACTTCACATCTAGGCCTTTGTGGAACGCGCCACATCTAATCATAACCAGATACGCATGACTTGTATTCACAATGTGTACACTGTATAAGCAACTTGGGGTCAGTGGCTCAGTGTGATGAACGTTCGACGATCAAATATCTCCAGGGACGAGTCTGATCCCTCACGCCGGTAGCTTAGCTGACGTGGGTCAGGAAGGAAGCGTGAGCCCCAAACGCCAGTGCGCACCGAGTATAACGGCCTCCAAACACATGAACACGCCATCCCCTGGGGCTTGCGACGACGCCACCTTCCACTGCAAAGGGACCCTGCAGATGTGAAGAACCCTTCAGTGGGAACATCACCTGTGGGATGATCTGGGTGGGACAAACAGAAACACGGCGGTCCTTACGGAGGCAAATATAAGAGCAGGTGAAGGAGATGGGAGTATGGAAACAGAGGACAGAGAGAGAGAGGGAGGGAGAGAGAGAGAGAGGTGTGCAGATTTTCCATTGTTGGCTTTCAAGATGCAAGAACTGGCCATCAGGCAAAAAACACAGGTGGCCTCCGGAGGCCGGAGAAGACAAAGAAGGGAATGCTTCCCCAAAGCGTGCAGGTCACAGCTTTGCTGTCACCCTGATTTTAGACCAGTGAGACCCGCTTCTCACTCCTGACCTCCAGAACAAGAACTTAATAAACTGTGTGGTTCTGAGCCCCTGGGTGGCTCAGTCGGTTAGGTGTCCGACTCTTGATTTCAGCTCAGGTCATGATCTCACAATTTGAGCCCTGTGTTCTGACAGTGCAGAGCCTGCTTGCGAGACTCTCTCTCCCTCTCTGCCCGTCCCCTGCTCTCTCTCTCTCTCTGTCTGTCCCCTGTTCTCGCTCTCTCTCTAGATAAATAAATTAAAAAAAAGAATTCATAAAGCCAGAAGTCTCTATTATTTTGTTATAGCGGCACCAGGTAACTACTACGTGGATTATCGTTTTAACCAGCTGTCTGGTGTGAGGCTACATTTAAGTGGAAACAACATCAAGTCTTGACACAGAAGGTGTGCCTTTCATCCCCGTGGAAACCATAACAGAAACATGATGGGGCCATGTTGCTGCTCAATGCCTGCAACACAGTGATGTCCATATATTGGAAAGGGGTGAAGGAACAGCACTGGAGCTCAGAGATCAAGGAAAAGTCAACCAGTGGGTGAACTGGGAGGCCACAGCTCACCCAGCTCAGCGTTCCCCACCGTCACATAGCCTCACCTTTATACATTCCGTTACTTCCTCCGTGAACTTCTCCTTTGGCGGACACCTCTTCCACGTGTGCTCCTTGGTCCGAACTGAAGTAGATGAGGGTGTTATTAGCCAGTTTCAATTCATCTAGGACATTCAAGATCTGTCCTGGAGGGGAGAGATATTCAGGGTTAATACAGTTCAATCTTTACAAAAGGAAAGATTACTTGCTCTCATCGACTTCTCTTAAGATGGGAAGGGGATGTTCTTGCACATCACAGCTTTCCCACGCTGATCCCAACAGGGGATGCGATGTAATCAGAAAGCCTAACTGAGGCAGGGTTCTTGGAAACTACAGTCCTTGGACCATTAGTCATCTATAAGCATCATCTAAAACCCTAGGCATCATGGACTGATTCTGTAGACTGATACCTGGGAAAGGATTCTGGAAGAATCAGGCCCACAGAGCATGAGACACTCACAGGAAGGTGGTGTGGTCCTGAAGATAGAAAAAATCTACCAGTTCCCCTTATTCAGTGCAAAACCCCAAGCCATCAATGTTCTTCTTATATGAATGAACACGTCTACAAATACTTTATGATGAATGTCTTTTAGTACTTATGATCCATACAGATCTAGAACTACCTATCTTATTTAGACTACACGGAACCTTACTGACTGAACAATGTAGGCTCCATTTCACAGATGTGATCAACAAGGTCACAAAGTTAGGAAGGTGAGGATCCAGAGAGTAAGCATTAAATCAGATTCCAAAGGGCAGACTCTCAAACCTTAGAGAGGTATGTGGATGGACCCTGTGGGAATCACAGAGGAGTAAAAAAAGACATAAAGGGAAAAGAAACAGAAATACCTACTTAACTACTGATGGATGAAATGATATGACAGCCATTTGTGTGCTTTAAGTTAACACAGGAAGGGGAGGCAGGCTGGGGTGCAGATTAAACAAGCTTTGGCACGAGTTCATGGTTGTTAAGTGTGCATCAAGAACACATGAAAGTTTACTCCATTTTTTTGTCTACTTCTATTTATGCATACATTTTCCTTAAAAAACAAAACAAAACAGGAGCTGGCTGAAGATGGAAGGGGCTGAAGTACGGACTGCCTGATGAGGAAGATGCTGCCGGCTTTCAAGTCAGAAGAACACGACGGTCAAACTAAGGAATGCCCTTTGTGACCCCCGCAGACATCCATATATGCTATGCTACCCGTTAGATTTAGTAAGTTAATGCGCCCAGTTCTATTCTGATGGCGATATTAGGGTCTGACCCCACTTTTGACGTTTGACTGATGAGAGCTCCGAAGCCTCACTGTTCCTTATTCAACGTGTGCCCAGCCAGCTAATCAGAGAGCCTGGGTGCCACACCCTGAAGTCTTACGGGGACACCATGTATCTCCTGCTGCTGTAATAATGACTCAGTAGGGGCACGCCCTAGCCAGCATGTAGGGCAAACCCAGGTGGGGATGGGCCCCCCACTTTGGGGCTGCACCTCCACCCGTGTGATTCAGAAAATGGGGAGAAGGACCAAACCGTCAACTCTCCGTGGAGGCACACAGAGCCGAAAGCAAGACCCGGGTCATTCATTACAAGACATGTGTTTGCTCTTTGACTGTAAATGCCATGGGCCACAGTATGTTCGATCCTTCTCAGGTTTTTAACTCCTATAATAAGCATTCTGAGAAGCCACACCATATACATAAATGCCATACTCGGCACCAAGCAGTAAGATCCACAAAGGCCATTTCAGATCTGTCTCCCACGATAAATCATGGCCGTGCAGACACTGACTGTGGTGTTACTGGGTACAGCAAGGCAAATCACCTGTGTGCGTGGGGGGATTTCACTCCAACTCTAATTTAAGCTGTATCATTGTGTATACGGTAATTAAGAGTTGAAACAGGGAGAAGAAATAAGACAGTATCACCTCCTCTTATATTTTGAAGGAAAAATGCCCCCTTTGGCTCATATGACAACTTTTTAAAGTTTATTTTTATTTATTTTGAGAGACAGAGACCAAGTGGGAGAAGGTGAGAGAGAAGAGAGAGAGAGAGAGAGAGGAAAACAGAATCCCAAGCAGGCTCCATACTGTCAGCACAGAGATCATGACCTGAGCTGAAGTCAATACTCAGATGCTTATCTAAGACCCCAGGTGCCCCCCATATGACAATTTCTAAGTAAAATCATACAGACCAAGAAGTCAGCAGAGGACTGAAGGGTTTACTTCCTTGAATTATAGTTAGTATTTTGCAAAAACGGTAAGCAATCATATACCTACCTTCCAAATAAAATTAACCTCTCATAGATTTAGAATAAACGTAGCATGATTTTTTAAAAAATGTGGTGTCCATGACAAGTTATATGGACACACAACCTGCACGTAAACATTTGCAGCAGTTTTATTTATAATTGCCCAAACCCTGCAAATGACCAAGATGTCCTCTAGCAGGTGAATGGACACAGCGTCGGGTATCCAGACAGAGGACTCCTCTCTGCTCCAAAGAAATGAGCTTTTGGTTGTGAAAAGTCATGGAGGAGATTGAAATGCACACGGCCAAGTGAGAGACGCCCATGTGAAAAGGTACATAATACAGGATTCCAACCATATGACATTCTGGAAAAGCCAGAGCTATGGAGACAGCCTGAGTGGGGTAGGCATGAAGAGTCAGCACACAGGGTTTGTAGGGCACTGAGAGTATTGTGTCCCATACTGGAACGGTGGCTAATGTGTCATCATACCTTAGTCCAAATCCACAGAGTGGGATTCAAACAGTGACCCTTAATGAAAACTATCACTTCTAGTCAGTAACGATGCTTCAACACTGGCTCATCAACCACAATAAACGTACTGCCATAATTCAAGATATTCTCAAGTACACAAGGTGCACAAAAAAGAGAACATATGAAACTGTACATTCTACTCAGTTTTTCTTTCTTTTTTTTTTTAAATTTTTTTTTAATGTTTTATTTCTTTCTTTTTTTTTTTTTTTAATGTTTTATTTATTTCTAGGAGAGAGATAGAGACAGCATGAGCAGGGGAGGGTCAGAGAGAGAGGGAGTCACAGACTGAAACAGGCTCCAGGCTCTGAGCTGGCAGTCAGCACAGAGCCCGATGCGGGGCTCGAACCCACGAACCGCGAGATCATGACCCAAGCGAAAGTCGGACGCTTAACCGACTAAGCCACCCAGGCGCCCCATGTTTTATTTATTTCTAGGAGAGACAGAGAGAGAGAGTGTGAGCAGGGGAGGGTCAGAGAGAGAGGGAGTCACAGACTGAAACAGGCTCCAGGCTCTGAGCTGGCAGTCAGCACAGAGCCCGACATGGGGCTCGAACCCATGAACCGCGAGATCATGACCTAAGCGAAAGTCGGACGCTTAACCGACTAAGCCACCCAGGCACCCCTCTACTCAGTTTTTTTGTATATAACTGCTCAAAAAATAGTCTGCTATTTTTTCTGAGAGAGAGAGAGAGAGAGAGGAGCATGAGCACAGGAAGGGCAGAGGGAGAGGAGAGAGAGAGAGTCCCAAGCAGGCTCTCCGCTGTCAGTGTGGTGTACCAAGCCCTTGGAGCTTCCCGGACACCCCACTCTCTTTGCTCAAGCCAGTGACAGTTCCCGTCTCCCCTGTAGGCTCTTTTCATCTCCAGGGGAGCCTACGGCGGCGCATAGCAGACAGGCTCTGTCTAGTCCACACCCCAGTATTCCAAACAACCATGTAAGATATTTATTTCCTTCGTCTCCATCCGTTCTTCTTATTCATCGCCTAGACTGACGCCTTTATCTTTTGCGTCAAAAGTACCCTTACAGCTGGGCTGGGATTAACGCTAGGCGTCCAGCTGAGGCCATCGGGCATGTACAGACCGCAGGATATTTGCCCAAATCTGTGCAGAAACAGTCAAATTTCTGATTTCCTTTCAGGACTTTCTTTCCCAAAAGACATACTCTGGGATCCCATACAGTTTAGGTCTTATGCCAGCATCTCATTTGTAGAGCCTGAAGCCCATTAACTCTTTAAGTTTTCATAAGATTGATCCTGTAAAGCTCTAACATATTTCTCTTTAAAAACTGCTGAACGGAAATCTCCCATGAGAACCAACGCTTGTGTGTTATTCTTGCTTCCCGAGCAGCACACTGCAAGTCAGAGGTCCACAAATATTGTTTTTCAGTAAGGTTCTCAAGGTATAATGATACCAATTTATATGGCGTGATAGTTTTGAATTACTGATGGCAGGCTGAAGGATAGCTTATAAATGAAATATGTTATTTCCAAAGCTTTCTCACATTGTTCCCTGAATGAAACAAATACAGAAAATAAGCCATTTCAAGATCACTTTGTTATTTAACTGGGGACAAACAAGAGCGAGCTTATCAGAAAATGGGAACTTCAGATTGGACTTTTGTAAACTAAAAGGACAACACGTGGAAATGTCAAAATCTGGCTCCTTCCCTCTTCTCCAGGTGTGAGTGCAGCTTGCAGGGGAAGCCTAAATTCTAGAGAGTTCCTTCATCCCATTTGTTCACTCCGCAAACGAGCGTGAAGCCACTATTGAGAATCAAGCAGTGATGCGTCACTCAGGAGACAGACGGCTTCCCAAGGCACGGGCCATATTCTCAGCAGCGCCCGAGGGAGAGAAGCCATCACACAGAACTAAGGGCTCAGGCTGCCTTTTGGCTCCCAACAGCAGCAGACTTAGTGAAAATCCTGGGTTCCCAGCTTGCTCACTGGGGCTCTTTGCCTCTAAGTCAGAGCTGAAAACGTAAAATAGGAAAGTGTTGCTAGGAGGGACAGAGAATTTCATCCACAACAGCCCAGAACTGGTCACACTATGATTGGTCAACACACCTTAGCTCTGGCAATGAGACAAGACAATGTCCACCCACTCAACATGTCACCAGGAACCGGGAAGAGCCCCTTACGACTATTTTAATAAGTCTTTTATCTGATCAACAGGTTAATGGTGGGATTCAATAATCCTGCTGAAGTCACAACTGTGCAGTACCTTGCTGTGGCACGTCTGGGTGGCTGGGACTCTCCGTCAGGCGTGTGCAATGCTTGGCACTCAACGTTCTAGCTTTCGCCTATGTCCTCAGATGTTACTGAGTGGCACAGAGAGATTTAGCTGTCACTGGCCTGAGAGAGGCAATTTTTTTGT